AATCGGACCAGTAGTTCCAGAGATTAGCGCGTTCAAACAAACAAACAAACAAACTCTGCAGCTTTATAATATTAGTATAGATATTTTGTTTTATATTATGTGTCATAGAAATTTGTCATAGAAATAGTTTTGTTTCTAAGGTTTTCACGCACATTCCTGCATTAAATAAAACAATTTTCAACGGGTTAGATGCACTGATTTTATTTATTTATTGACGTTTCGCATCCTTTGCAGGAATGCGTCGTCGGAATAATAATTATTAAAGGTCAAATCGATCACGATACGCTTTCAATATCAAGATGTTTTGAATGGAAATTTGAACGGCGCCACAAAGGACATAACGACAATTAAAAAAAATCCATACAAAACTTCTTGATATTTCACGAGTATCGACACCGAATTCAACTATTCTAATTCGATATTGGTTCGCGTTAAGGACACTGTCCATTCTCATAATTGAGGAGATGGTGAACAAAACGATATAAATACGCAACTAACAGTCGGTTTCGGGCCCGTTGAATTTGAAACTATATATTTTCAATCAAAACCGCCTAAAACAGTGTTAGAATTACTAAGTTTATAAATCAAAAACCATGCCAAAAGCTCACTGTAGGTATGTCATTCAGTTTTATACAGCTCCTGTAAAATTTGATGTAATTATACCGTTTTGTTCGCCAGCTCCTCAATTAATGTTTACGCAGGCAAACGAGCTGGCAGTCTACCTGATGGTATATGGTTGGCAGTCTACCTGATGGTATATGGGGCGATGTTACTTGCTTTACCCGTCTCTTCGAGACCGCCGTACCATTGCTAAAAAGGGAAAAATAGGTTTAAGCTGATTTGAATATTGTACTTTTATTTATTCAATCAAAACCCTCTCTTTCGCAGAAAACGATATTATGTTGATACGATAGGTATGATTAAATAAATAAATTTTACGACGAATATAATTCTTATTTACTTATAAAAAAATATAGGTAGCAGTGAATATAATTACAAGTCTTTGAATACGTATTCATGAAGTACTCACTAACTGCGTGTTGCACTGTCGAGTTAGTGAAAGTTAAGCGCTTCTCGCCTTACATCTATAGAGACTTCTTTTGAGATGCAAAGCGAGAAGTGCTTAACTAGGCTTGTGGCTGAAAAACCACTTGGGGTGTGGCTAGTGTTGCCAGGTGTCCCGATTTGCGCGGGACGTCCCGATTTTCAGGGGTCTAGGGACGCGTCCCGATTTGTACCTGAACGGGATGCTAAATGTCCCGATTAATCAAAAAATGAAATTTAGGTAATTAATATAATACCATACTTGCACTAGTAGTTTAAAATGCAATAAATTAAACACAGACTTAAAAACCCCTTGTTTTTTCTTTACTGTCCCGTTCAGCAACCCTAAATCCCGATTTTTTTGACCTCATGTACCGATTTAAAACAAATCGGACCTGGCAACAATAGGTGTGGCTGAAAACCTGCGTAGCCCGAGACCTTCCACAACGGAGCATTTTATGCAGAATCACATCCATTTGCTCTGCATGCGCTTTCTTAACACATTGTACATTCTATGACCTTTGTATTACTGTAAAGGAAGAGCTATAAAATATTTCTATTCTACTAGCATAAACACATCATCAAACTCATCGTTATTCATTCAAAATTGCATTGATTTGCCCCCACATACAAACGGTAAATAAAAATATCCATTTAATACAAAAACCAGAGAAACGCATTTCCTTTAACCTTGGAACTTTTTGGCACACATTCAATGGCCATTGGGGTAAGGTCACTGCAGGTCAATTCTATTGAAACATTGAATTTTCTAATAAAATGAGATTTTTAGATTTGAGAACAAATTTTTAGATTTGACCTCTTTAACTAGTTCGGAAAAATCAGGAATCAATACCGTAAGACAGCTCAATTGGGTCGACATTATGTCGATACATATTATGTTATATTTTCTTCCGATTTTGACATCTTTCTGTAAGGTGTGATTTTATACTCTGAAGGAAGACTTCCGTGGCGTGAGTGGTATCCGGTTTCAAGGTGCCACCTATGCGGAGAGCCTGGGTTCAAATCTCGGAGGGGCAAATATTTGTTCAATTCGTCAATATGATTTCAAAAACTGTTTTACCAACTAACAGATCCCAGTTCAATTTTACACTTTTATGAATTCTCACCGAATGAACACTAGAGTCTGTGCGGAAAGAGAATGGGATTTAGATTGGAGGGCGTTGTAGTGTTTTTCTACCATATTTGTAAGGTTTTACGCCTTTTAGACATGATTAAATACAAAAAACCGCAAGAGATCACAACAACAAACAAATCCGTATCAATACAAAACTTTCACGTTTTACAGATTGCTGGGTTTGATTGCCAAATAAAAATCTTAATGTTAGTTCCGTTTTTCGCCACGCCCATTCTCTTTCCGCACAGACTCTACAGACCGACGAATGTTTGGCCAACTCGTCGTTTGTGAGATTTTGATCTAATTTGTATTTGGGGAACTGCAGGAAACACAATTCCTGCAGTTCACCAAATGAATATAATAATATCTACCAGATGACTGGTGCTTCGCCGCCACTGCCGCAGGACGCTCGCTTCGCTCGCTCAGCTCGCGCTAAATTTAGATCACAACACCAACCTAACCTAACCCACTAACCGCAAACTCATGGTACTACGGTCTAATATTCATTCGGTGAGCTGTAGGAAACTCAAACGATTAGTTGGTCAAACGTTCATTGGTAAGATTTTCATTCCGTAATAATTTTAACAGTGTAAATAAATTATGGCATCTCTTTTTCAACCATTGGTAGAATGGTTTTCGAAATCATGATACTCAACCCGTCAAAATAAACAAATGTATCAAAAGTTTTAATTCGAAATCCTCGAAAACAACAAAGCAACGATGTTATTAAAATTAACACATCAAAATCTTTGACAGTTTTACAGCAAGCTGTAGCTCTTGTTTTAATCTTGAAATGTTGTGTTTTGCGGTTAAGGAAATATGGCAAGTTTTCCTTTTCGTTGTACAAAAGTGAAACAGAAATGAGGCCGGTTTAGAAGTTCTCATTTGCCACGATTATGTGGGCGGCGGCCTCCCTTAACTTTGTCGTAGGGAAACTTTTGTTTGTCGTAATGTACTTCTTAAGTGTTAAGACACAGAAGAAATTAAAGTGCCAATGTTGTGCTATAGTTACCTTTTGCTGCTTGATGAAACAAGTCAAGTCGACCCGGTTTTTTTTATTCCGTAACTTTTTACAGAGAATTCGGATTTTGATAATTCTTTTATTGCAAAGGGTACATAGTACTCGGTAGTTGGTCGCTTATACATTTGGAAAAAAAGAAAGTTTTTAGTGTGTATTTACATGTATAGTGGTATTTTTTTTCATCGTCTTGGGGTACCGTTAAATAGCTTCTTAAAAAAAGACTTAGGGGTTACCAAGACTATTTTTCGATTAAGGGATCCCTTTGTGAAATATTAAACCTTACAGTGCAAATTTTTGGTCGACCTCGAATTGTATATTACAAAAATTAGAGCCACAAAAAATAATAAAATAAAAACTTTTTTGCAAAAAAGTAAAACTCTTAAAAACTGAAGAGCAGAAAAAATTAAACCTTTTTTATCTTTAGTCAAATTAATATTTGGTATCAGTGCCAGGCCAACCCAAGTAGTAAATGGAAACTCAGATCTATCAAATATGCATGGCACCAACTCCAAATATTAAAAGATAAAAAAGGGTTTATTATTTTCTGCTTTATAGTTCTTTCAGCGGTTTAATTTTATTGCTTAAGAGATTTTATACATATTTTGTTCTATTACTTCATTTAAAAACAAACTATTTTGAATAAAACAGACGAAAAGTCTAAAGAAAAGTCAAATAAGGTTTATTATTTGAGTATAAAAACTTTTCATTATAAATCTAATATATAAAATTCTCGTGTCTCGGTGTGCGTAATTGAACTACTCCGAAACGGCTCGACAAATTTTCGTGAAATTTTATAGGCATATTCAGTAGGTCTGAGAATCGGACAACATCTATTTTTCATCATTCATTTTGTTTTTTTTTGGACGAAATTTTTTGTTCTTATTTTTTATGATACATCATACAAATATACATACAACCCTAAAGTACGAAGTTCACTGGGACAGCTTGTTTTATATAAAATTTTATATATATTAAAGAAAACTTATCATCACATAGAATATAGCAAAATTGAAATTTTATTAGATAGGCAACAATAAGTTTAACAATAAAAGAAAATGTCCTCTTTGATATCCACTGCCGAATGTTATCAAACGAACTGTAAAAGCATAAAAGTACACAACGCCAGACATACATTTCCAACCAATTGACCCCTATTTCCCCACGTTACGTGTCTTTCTAACAAAGAGAGGTTTCCATCTCATTAAGGACCAGGCTCACGTTTTCATCTCCTCTTTTACTTTAACTTTTAAAACTAGCGCCGGCCTTCGATTTCGACCGCATTAACTTTAGCTTTTAGAAAATCTCACAGGATACCTAACATTGTTCCGGGACGAAAAGTATCCTATGTCTCAGTCTCAAATTTCATCCAAATCCGTTCTGTAAAGGTTCTGTAGTTTATGCTTGATTGAGTAGCAAACACACGAACTTTCACATTTATAACATTAGTTGGATAATGTACGTACATACTCCACCACCCCACCTACAGAAGACCAGAGTAAAATAAACACTAACTTTTGGTGGTGCTGTGTTTCTGTCTGTGAGTGAGGTTCCAGGGCTACACGAGATAGGGGACTCAGTCAGGGTAGGCAACAGTGCGAGTGATACTTTATACCGCAAGCATCTTAAGGTTGTGGTTTTGCTACCCTTTTGATATAAAAAAATTCTTATTTACTGTTATTACAGGATTAAAACTCATGTTACAGAATTCAAATTAAAAATATATAGTGGCTACGGATCATATAAAGCATATTATTTTCATAAGCTTTAATAATTAAAAAGTGTTCATTAAAATTAAAATAGTAGGAGTCGTGCAAGAAGCTAATGTAGATTCTTGATTGCTTCACGCTATAAAAGTAGTCGACTTGAAAGATTCGCTTTTGAGACTTAGTTGAGAGGAAATTCTGCAGTGATGGCAGAGATTAAAGACCGAGGGCATAGACCATAGATGTGTTCAATATGGCGGCGTACGGTCGTGAGCGCGTTGCTGAACTGCGTGCTGATGAAGAAACTTAAGAGTGCCGTGAGGAGTTGGCGAAGAATGCGACTGTTCCGTAAACATGATGGTAAGACTCTAAACTCTAAATAATCATGAGATGAGAGGAGTCAACAAATACAGATCATCTTTCAAATGTTTAATACTTGAAAAAGTATTCATTTGACATTGTGGATTACCTACAATGCGAAGAGATGGCGCTGCCTTGCAGCTTAAGGCTAGGAAAAATTCGACGCGGCGAAAAGGGCCGTGGTAGCATAATGGTCAGTGCATTCGCCCGGATAGCGAAGGGTGCGGGTTCGAGTCCCGTCCGCTGCCTGGTCCGCGTGGATTTTTTTCTAGTAAACTTTTCTTTAGATTTAAACATCTAGCAGTTAAATGCTTAAAAATAAATAAAAACATAAATACAGATCATTTAAATTCAAGGGTAATATACAAATACAATCCCGATTAAATTAAGAGTACTACAAGTGTGAAGCTTCATGAATCCCCCCCTGGAGCTTGGTCATGGGCTGGGGACACCCTTGTTTAAATCGTAGGACATTGAGAATATTCTGGGCTTCACGGAATTAGGAAATAATAGTAGAAGGTGTATTTATAGTTTTGTTTTGTTTTCTAATATGGATTAAGTTGTCTCTAGTGATGGGTTACGTTTCCAGATCTTAACGGGACAGCTTAGGACAGCGAGCTGTAACGATGCTTTATCGCGTCACTTATTGAGAAAGAGGTTAAAACACATGTGTTACCCTAAAAGAAGTTGTGGTCAATGGATATATTTCTTCAAAAGTCATCGTGGTCCAGGTCCAAGGGTGATGTCACCTTACCGTATGAAGCTGACATTTTGAACGGCTTTCTAGCCCGTTGGTTCTCCACTCAAGCGATGTATTTACTAAATATGTACTCCAAGTACCAACTTTGACAGTTTTAGTCTTAGTGTCGCCGCACTCGGGCCACCGACCACAACCACAAAACGCCGCCACCGGCATATTTCTTTTAGTTTTCATACATTTTATATGGACTCGCCACACACGGTACGCCGGTGGCCGCCACACGCTACAAATCGTCGTTGCTCGCTTCTTGTGGTCCGCACCGGCCACTTAATGCGCCGATATAAAGCGCCGATACAAAACGCCGCCACACGTCACTCGCGTGATTCCCCACCCCCCTCAGCCACTTTAGCAGCCGCTTCTAGGTTCTTGTGGCGGCGTTTGTGGCTGTGGCGTGTGGCCAGTGTGCGGCGACACTCAGTAGTACGTCGGACTATTTCCGTTACTAGACACCATGTGCCTATTTTTCGTAAGGAATGGCATCAGTCCTGCCATTCCAGCTCCTCCAGAAAGCCCAGCAGTCCCCTGATGTAACTGCAGGCTTCTACTTGTGTCCGTAGATTTTACAAAAGAGAAGTCCTTTGTCTTGCAACGCCTTTACACTCCAGCAGAACATGGGCGCTTGTCTTTTCCTTCTCCAGACAGACTCTGCACAGAGGGCTGTCAGAAATACCTATATTACAAAGATGTTTGTTGAAATACCCGCTGAGTATATACCTATAATTTCTTTCAAGGGTTGTCTAGGTTGTCTAATTAACTTACGTAATAACCGCAGGTTTACCTTAAGTTTAGGATTAGGCTTAGGTGAGTTCTGCCCAGTATTCGTCACGTTGTAGTTGACAGCTTTCCCTTATCCATGTCCTCAGCTGTCGAAAAGGTATGGGTAAAATGGGCTCTGGACTGATAGCCATTCTGCTTACTTCCAATTTGATCTGTTGGAAACTTTGACAGATCCGTTATACGATTGCGGAACTGTCATAATTCGTGCTTATGGTACTGATTACTTTCATAATACAAGTAATTTTACAAGTCTGCTGTAAATACTTCATTGCTCATTCTCATTTTGTTGACAGATCTGTCGATGACGCGTCAAGTATCGACTGACCCGGCTCCTTCCACTTCGGGCACTCCTGCGCACCACCCGAGGCCTCCACCGGTGGAACTGTTACAATTGGTAAGTTTTTTGTGTGTGTGTATGCTGTTGGTCGAAGATGGCCTTTACAGTGTCACCGGGTTTGGGTACGGCGAGATCCTAATGGACCTCAAGCCGATAATTGGCGAGTGCCTCTAGGGATATTCCAGGCGGATGGCATTTCCCTATTTGACCTCGGCTCTAGTTAACAGTTGTCGTGGGGGGCAATTGATAAGTATAGTGCGATTCAAACTTTATGGCGGTTGTGAAGTGAAGTTGACAACGAGCGCAGCTATGCACACTCTGTGAGCAAGATCTTGTAGCGCGTGACAGATATAAGAAGTAATTTTAAAAAGTTTTAAATAAGCATCTATCTAATTTTCGAGGAGGAAATCGTCGAGAGCAAAACCTCAAATTACGCAATTTTCGTTAACTACCGTTGTCCCTATCAAACGTTATTTGCCAATGCGTGACAGCAATAGTATTTTCAAATACCTTTTTCTCAAATGTCTCTCAGCTCGCGTCCGCTCTTTAGTGTTTCTCTCACTACTGGACATTGGCGAAATTTCTGTGTAAAACGGAGAAAGCCACAGACACAAAAAAAAAGTTTAAATCGATAAAAAGCTGGACTTTTAATTGGGGCGCACTAGGTTTTAAACTGATTACTAATATTAATAAATATAAACAAATGAAATATTGACCATCATCATCAGCTTTTTAATGTCCCACATTCTGGGCCTAATGACTTTTATACTACTTTTTAATAAAAAAAAAATCTTCTGTAATAGTTCCTCCATATACTTTTAAACGCCTACTTCATTTGGATCATGCTTATTTGAACAATCTCTGCTGAAAACGGTTTTCGGTCTCTCCTCATAGGTCGGTGCCTAACACAAAGAACCTTTTAAAATTCAAGATTTATGAACTATACCTTATATATAGGTACTAAAATCGTCATTCAAGACGGCTTTCTATAGCAATTTGTATGGAAATTTGATAGTCCTTTACTTCAAAGAGGAAATTGCTTATTCACAAATTAATTTACCTATTTCAGTCTAGAAGTAAAAGTTTATTAGTACAGTATTATATTTTGTATTATCTGAGGTAATTTTGCAATTAGCGTTACCTTTGATATACATTAGCTTTCATTCTGAATTGAGAGTGGCAGAGGCAATTATTCAAATCTGATATTTTCGCGTAGATATTACTGTAGAGTTTTGTTATGGCCACATTACTATGATGGCAACCCTGTAAAAAAGTCAGTCGGTGAAGCTGTAATAAATAATGGTGTACGACACGTGGAAAAATCTAAAAGTAATATCTAGCATACGTATTGTAATATTGTGATTGGAGTTCTAAATAAACGAATACAATAATACTTTTCTTTATTGGAATAATCTACAACATTGGCGACGAGAACGGTGCGAAATCACGCAACAGAACAGATAAGCGGCGGCGGGACGCCGGCTTCGGTAATAATGGAGCGTTTGGAATATTCGGTGGGAGCTGCTGGGCCACAGTTCAGTCCCTTCTCCGAACCGAATACTACTGGCGAGCGATGGAAAACTTGGCTTCAGAATTTCAAGTATTATATTGAAGGTCAAATAGCGTTAAATGACAAACAAAAAGTGGCAAGGTTATTGCACCAGGCAGGTCCTGAAGTGCAAAATATATACGAAATTTTGCAAGAAGATGACGCTGAAGGTGAAAATGAGTACATTAAGTGTGTAAACAGGTTGAATTTATACTTTATACCGGAAGCTAATACTGCTATAGAACGTCAAAAATTTAGAAATTTAGAAATGAAAAATGAAACAATAGATGAGTTTTTATTAAAACTTAGAAGGCAATGTATGTACTGCGATTTCCCAAACAAGGACGAGATGTTAAGAGATCAAATTGTAGAGAAATGCAACAATATAGATTTAAAAAGAAAATTATTAAAAAGAGGCAGAAACCTGACCTTAGATTCAGCATTACTAATTTGTAGACTGTTTGAAATTAATAAAAATATGTTTCCAAAAATGGATACTGAGGAGGAAAAAAGTGAATCGGATATAAATAAAATACAACAACAACGAGATGTTACTTGTTATCGATGTGGTGGTAAAGGCCATATGGCAAAAGATGGACATTGTCCTGCATTAAACGAAAAGTGTATTAAATGTGGTATTAAGGGTCATTTTGCAAAATGTTGCAAGACAAGGCACAAGTATGATATTCCTTCTTCTAGTTCTAGCAAGGAGAAGTCACTAAAAAGGAAGAAAAGATATGTCAAGTATGTTATAGAAAATGCATCAAGTTCAGATTCTGATTGTTCTGATGATAGTGATGAGGAGTGTGACAATAAAAAAAACTTACAGGTAAATTCTGTATATCAAGTGAGTAGCATTGATAGCAACAAGTTCGACATAGAGGTTGGTGACAAATTAGTTTGCAAGTTTATTGTTGATTCAGGAGCTTCTATTAATATTATTGATAAATCTGTTTTTAAGAGTTTAATAAAATCAAAATTTTGTTGTAAACTTAAAATTGATAAATTGCAAAAGTATTACTCTTATGGAGGTAAAGAAATTTTAAGTTTAGGTATGTTTAGAACTACATTATACTCGCCTGATAGTAAAATTAAAGTGACTGCTGATATTTTGGTTTATGACGGTCATGGGCCATCTTTGTTAAGCAGACTAACATCAATACAACTGGGATTGTTACGAGTAGGACCTATTTCCCATGAGCAATGTAAGTCTCAAAAAATAAATTCTATTGATTACATACCTATTACCAAAGAAATGATAATGAAAGAGTATCCAGAATTGTTTATAGGTGTAGGAAAGTTGAGAGATTTCAAGTTAGTTATACCTCTAGATCCGAAAGTAAAGTTAGTTGCTCAACCAGTTAGGAGACAACCATTTAATTTGAGACATATTGAAGAAAAACTTATCAATGAACTACTTGACAATGACATTATAGAACCAGTAACTGGACCGACACCATGTGTATCACCGTCACACATTGTTAAGAAGAAAGAAAAGGATCAGTACCGGCTTGTGGTGGACATGCGGATGGCAAATGAGGCTGTTCTTAGGGAGCGAGTCCCACTTCCTACTTTTGAAGAACTTCTGGCCGATCTCAATGGATGCAGGTACTTCTCATCTCTTGATATTAAGTGGGGCTATCATCAATTGGAACTGGATGAGGAGTCACGTGTAGTAACAGTTTTTAGTAGCAGCTTGGGTTTATTCAGATTTAAAAGACTTTTATTTGGCATTCGCTGTGCTTCGGAAATGTTCCAACGTATCCTAGCACAATTATTACAAGGAATTGATGGAGTTGCTAATAGTCAAGATGATATTAGAATCGGCGGCCGTAGTAGGCAGGAACATGATGACAGGCTAAGACAAGTTTTGGATAGGCTACACAGTAATGGTCTCACTCTAAATGAGAAGAAATGTTATTTTGGAGTAACTGAAATAACTTTTTTAGGCCATCATCTTTCTGAGAAAGGTATTAGACCTACAACAACGTCACAACAAATAATACAAGAGTTTAGGGCACCTCAGAACAAAGCAGAAGTAAGAAGTTTTCTAGGTTTAGTGAACTTCTCTGCTCGCTTTATACCCCATTTTAGCACGCTTACAGAACCTTTAAGGCATCTCACGAAGAAAGACACAGATTTTGAATGGAGTCAGAAACATGAAAATGTATTTAGGCAGTTGAAAGTCCTTATCGTTAAGGCACCTGCTCTAGGATATTATGATAAGGAAGCAGAAACTACACTTGTTACAGACGCAAGCCCTGTTGGAATTGCAGCTGTACTTATTCAACATCAGTCTATTAATGGTAAGTTACAACCTATTGTTATTAAATATGTCAGCAAGGCATTAACAAATACGGAACAAAGATATTCACAGACTGAGAAGGAGGCGTTAGCAATTGTTTGGGCTTGTGAAACTCTATACATGTATCTTGTTGGGAAAACCTTTACTATTGTGTCTGATCATAAACCTTTAGAAATCATTTATTCATCCAAGTCAAAGCCTAGTGCCAGAATTCAGCGTTGGGTTTTGCGACTCCAACCCTACACATTTAAGGTAGTATATAGACCTGGTAAAACTAATATTGCAGATTCACTTTCACGGTTATTAAATACTGAAAATAAAGTACAAAGCTCGGAAGATACAGAGGATAATTTATTATTAGCTATGGTTGAAACAAATATGGATGCAGTTACTATAGAAGAAATTGAACAAGCTACGTTAAACGACACGGAATTGACCAAATTGAGGCATGCAATAGAAAATGATTTATGGTCTAAAGAATTGAGAAAGTATGAATTGATTAAATCTGAGCTATCTATTTTTAATAACATTATATTGAGAGGAATGAGGATTATTATACCCAAGGAGTTAACTGCTAGAATATTAGAAGCTGGACATGAGGGACACATATCTATTAACGGTATGAAAAGTAAATTAAGATCCAAAGTATGGTGGGGTGGAATGGATAAGGACATAGAATATTGGATAGATACATGTAAAGGATGTCGCTTAGTAAGAAAGGATATGCAACCTGAACCTATTATTTCTACTGAGTTGCCAAGTAGAGTATGGGAACTTGTAGCTATAGATTATTTGGGGCCATTACCATCAGGTCATTACTTATTATTTGTTGTGGACTACTATAGTAGGTATTATGAAGTGGAGATATTTAAAAATCCTACAGCTGAAAATGCTATTAAAGCAATATCTACTATTATTGCACGAGAAGGCATTATGGATACAGTGGTATGTGACAATGGACCAGCATTTATTGATCAAAGATTTGAAAAATTTCTGAAATGTAATGGTATTCGATTGAGGCATACAACTCCTCTATGGCCTCAAGCCAATGGTGAGGTTGAGAGACAAAATAGGAGTATGCTAAGAAGGTTGAGAATCGCTCAAGGTCTAAAATCTGATTGGAAGCAAGAGCTGTTAGTATACTTGTCAGCTTACCGTACAACACCACATTCTACTACTGGTGTACCTCCTGGAGATATGTTTAGAGGAAGACCTATAAAGACAAAAATTCCTCAGCTGATACTAAATTTCAATTATGACGATGAAGGTATAAGAGATAGAGACAGGTACAAAAAATATTTACAAAAGCTTTATGCTGATAAAAAAAGACATGCAAAAATTTCAGACATTAGCCCTGGTGATAAGGTTTTACTAAAACAAAAGAAAGAAAATAAGTTATCAACACCCTTTTCTCCAACTGAACACACGGTAATATGGAAATCTGGCAACTCTATAGCAGCACAGTCACCCGATGGTAGAATTGTAAAAAGAAATTCTTCCTTTTTTCAACCTATAAAAGAAAGAGATATGAGAAGATTCAGCAATAAAGGGGAAGGAGAGATACAAAATACTGATGACAGTAGTGATAACTTCAAAGGAGAGGACTTGCTTGATGATGAACATCCGTCATTTTCTACTCATACAGAACCTAGTACATCTGACGTGACTTTTGACTCTAACCACACTGACATGTCTAAACAAATTGGTAAAACCTTGAGAGAGAGAAGGGTACCTCCTAAATATAAAGACTTTGTTTTAGGGCTTATACTAGATTGTATGAATTTCTAGTTTCTTACACATTATGCTAATTTTAACAAGAAAGAGATATTATGTATATCTCTCTCTTAGATATTGTCAAATTGATTTTATTGATGTTAATTATTATGTTTATATGATAAATAATATAAGTTTGCTCATATAGAATTAGATTGATTTATTTGTGAAGTTTTGATGATCAAGAATTGGATTTTATGTTGATGTTAATTAGATAAATAAATTAACTTCAAATTTGCTCATATAAAATTAGATTGATTAATTTGGGAAGTTGTATTAATTAAGACGCTAAGGATAAGTTATATAGTCGTATTTCCTGTATACAATTATTATGTGATTTGATAAGTATTAAGATTCCATTGCATTCATGAAGAAAGAAAGAGATTGTAGAGTTTTGTTATGGCCACATTACTATGATGGCAACCCTGTAAAAAAGTCAGTCGGTGAAGCTGTAATAAATAATGGTGTACGACACGTGGAAAAATCTAAAAGTAATATCTAGCATACGTATTGTAATATTGTGATTGGAGTTCTAAATAAACGAATACAATAATACTTTTCTTTATTGGAATAATCTACAATTACCTACCTAAAGGCGCTGTCCCACGACCTGTGTTATCGCGGGCGAGACCGCGCCGCGCAGAGTTGCCAAATGTATGAAAACTCTAACGTTTGAGATTTAGCAGTCTCTGTACATGAAACGAGGTAAATAGAAATCTCGTACACTTTGTGATGACATAATGAAGCTGTACTTACTAAGTCGATCCTTTGTGGACAGGACATTTATTTACTTTCTGATAATATTTTTGCTTTTGTGTACATGACACAAACAGCCAACATTGTTCAAATCATATCAAAGGGTAAGAGAATTCTATTTACCTCGTATCATTTATAGAGACTGCTAAATTTCGAACGTTAGAGTTCTCGTACGTTTGGCAACCCGGTCAAACGCAGCCTCGCCCGCGCCGACACATATCGTGGCACAGCGCCTTTAGGCAGTTGACCCAGCGCGCCGGCGATGTAGCCACTACCTATCGGCTATTTTGTCGCTCAAGAAACGTACAATAAATATGCATTCTGTGTATCAAAAGAAATGCATGTATTAATAGTTGAACGCCGACTGTTCACACCGCCGGGCGACAACTCGCTCCACTACCTAGTCGCTGAGCGACAAGAGCTATCAAAGGAGTTATCGCTCATATCGCTATATGACATACATTTTTGGTTAGAACCATCACCGCGCGCGAGTGGCCCAGCGATTAAACTAGATATCACAACTCGCTTCCTGCCGCTCGCCAACTAATTTTTAAAGTGAAACTTCTTTACGCACGCTTCACTTGGGGGGTAAGCTGGCGAATGCGTTAGGTACGCGTTACGAAAATTGTGTTCGGGCGAGGCGAACGGGAGTTGAGTGGGGGATATAAGTAAGAGCAAGCAGTGCGCACGCACATTTTCTTTCTTTCTTTCTCTTATAGCTAGTAAATGAAACGTGTATGTGTACACACATGTATATATTGTACATATACTAAATAAATGAGGAGCTCGATGGCGCAAGTGGTCGGTCATTGGATGAGTGACCAAAAATTACTATCTCGAGCTCCTCCCTGCTTCGGCAGGCACGTTAAGCCGTTGCTGGTCCATCTGCAGTCGTTAGCACCCACCAATCCTTATGGGCCCGCGTAGTGGGTCATGGCCCAATCTCCCTATTCCATCCATAGTAAAGGCCTGTCCCCCAGCAGTGGGGACAATAATAGGCTGATGATGATGATATATGCTAAAGTAATTTCACTTCAGTCGTGTGTTTTTTTTTTAGTTTCTAGCTCTACTCGCTACTTGTTTATCGTCGGCGGTGGGACCAGTGTCATAGATTCACTATTATTTACGAATGAGCAACGTCTTCAATATAAATTGATCTTAAACAACCTTCCCGGAATAAGGGGTCGTTCGCGTTTCCGCAGCGTTAGTTCGTTCTAAAGCTAAAGCGTTAAACCTGCCCTTATGTCTTTTCCTATTTTTGTTCGCATACTTTTCGATGTGTTCACAAATAAGCCTCTGATCCAAATGTATAAATCGGTAAATTTTGGTAGGTAAGTATAGAAAAGATTGCGACTTTTGAAAAAACAAAATATACATGGGTCTTGTCATAAGTTTTGTCACAATACCTACATGTGTAAAGTTAAAATAATGACAAGATGAGATCGGCCTGTGTATTTTTATAACTTATTATAACTTTATGAAGTCACTAGTTTAGCTTCCACCGGTGACTCTTTAGTATTTTACACTTATTTATTTACTTAATGTATTATTTCAATAATAATGTTTAATCGCAATTCGCCCGATATTCCATTTGTTACAACGAAGAGCCTATAAATTTTGCGGGAGCAAAACAATGCTAGTGAGTTTTCTCAGGCGCTATAAATTTTAAAAACAACCTTGTATTGTATAATGTGATTACATTTTCATTTAATGTTGTGTTTTGTATAGAATTATTGCAACTGTTTTATCTTATCTATACATAGATGTAAAAATGGTTGCCTGTAAAGTCGGTTTTACGGGCGAAGATTTTACGTGACAACGTCTTTTTCTCGGTAGAATATTTATTGATATGAATATAATTAAATTGCACAATAGGAACAAGGAATTGAATGAAAATAAGAATTGCACAAATTTTAACTATAGAAATATATTTTGTTTACTAAAACATTGTACATGTAAACTTAAACTTAACACGAGAGACTCATCGTAACGTTACCGAGCGTTACACTTTTTCATAAGTGACTCCCAGCCGCAACCTAATTTAAGACGTTGTCACGTCAAAAATACACAATAGAACTAGAATGCCAGAATGATCAACAAGTGCCAACTTCACTTTTAAAATGTTTAAGCAACTTTGCTACCACGCTCGTTCCAGGCATAATAAATTAAAACTAAAAAACACGCTTCAATAGCAAATTGAATTAAAAAGGAGAATTGGATCGATCGTTATTTCCACAACTAAACGCTACCGCGAGTACTATCGGCAACGCCTTCTGAGTCGCGCTAACGTTACGTTTTAAAAAAGTATAATTATAATCACTTGAAAAGATCGGCGGTTATACCGCATCATTCCCTTCTCAGGTGCTTTAAACAAACTGTTTATTTTTTCACAGGAAACCGACGAAGGTCAGAGATTACGCGAACAACAATTGAGACAGTATGCTTTCTTTCAACTACGTATCCACTTGAAAAGGGGACAAAACTTAATCGCTATGGACAAAAACGGTAACTATGTAACACACATAAACGCTAAAAACGCACAACCACAAACAAACACAAATCAGTGTATGCGCCGTGATTTTTATTGATTTCTGGTTATGACACAAATCACAAATGTTTGTTTTTTTTTGTTTGGATTTTGAGTCGGATCCCTCTCTATATTAATATAACATCTTCTTGTGATGTAACAGTGCTACCGAGCAGGCGAATATATTGTCGCCTTTGCCAATAAACCAGAATAATTTACAAAATATGGCTTTGATAATATTGTGAAAATCTTTATCTTGTCGCAGTAGAACAACTATAATTGAACTATTTATCTTGAAATCTTTACTTCCCAAAACATATTTAAAAAAAAGTTCGCATAATGTATTCTTACTTACAACCATAGAGTAGGGTCTTTGATATATTTTGATAGTGTGTAGAATACAGACTTACAACTTCTCTGAGACCATAGCTAACACTGTTCACTGTTCAGTGTGAGATAAGATAAATAATTAAATAGCATCTTCAATCTTACAAGATGTAGTGGTCTTTTCTTTGACTTTGATGGAATATCTGAATAATGGACATTTTGGATTTATGAATCAATAAAATAATCACGGCGCATGACTACTCTACTTAAAGCACTAACATTTTTAGTCACATTTATCAGAAATATTAAATTCATAAAAAAATATGGCTCCGCTCACTGCTTCACTTAAGCCAGTTTTAAGCACAACGCTCGCAGTCACTAATTGGTTGACCATGACAGATGGTAAACCATATACTTACAGGCACCATGAATAAAATAGTTGTACTTTATGGCTTTGTAATTGAAACGCATTGGCAAAAAAATATACCAAAGTCGGTCTCATCTAAGGCACTTCGCGCAGTAGACGGCCACGATCACGGCTAACAGACGCCGCAACAGAATACTGGGTCGATCTCTTCAAATCAGCATAGGTATTTTGTAAGTGCCATGGGATGAGATGGGATGGTGCCATTCCAAGCCGGCACTTAGAATGGCACCACGCTATCTCATCCCATGGGTATCGTACAAGGCGACAACGGGAACACAGCCAGCGGAAGACGGGCAGCTGCTTCTTCTACTTAAATTCCATGGCCATACTGCGATCGCTAACCCGTCTGCCAAGCGTGGCGATTACAGCAAACCCCTAATGACTGACACAAATATAAATCGGCCCCCAGTTCCCGGAAGCTGTGCACGTCCAAGCCACGGTAGCAGCTTTGGTAACAGCAGGCCAGGAGGTGCAAAGAATCCCCGGGTAAGATCCGGCTACCATCAAAGACGAATGTACCTGTTGTTAACCTACAACACGAGCACACTAAGGACTGACGCGAAGTTAACGGAGTTAGAAGAAGCTGTTCGTAAGTTAAGCTGGGATGTTATCGACCTTTCTGAAGTTCGAAGAGAGGGAGAGGATTCGATAGTTCTCAATTCTGGTAACTTAATATATTACCGGGAGGGCGACCAGCAGTCCCAAGGCGGTGTCGGGTTTATCGTCCATAAGTCCATCGTCAACAACGTGATAACCATCGGAACTGCGACGACTAGGGTAGCATACCTGATACTAAGTGTATCGAAAAGATATCCGTTGAATGTCATTCAGGTCTATGCTCCGATCTCGACAAATCCAGATGACGAAATGGAGGCTATCTATGAGGAGATCTCTAAAGCCATGCATAGCCACAAAACCCACTTCACAGTTTTGATGAGGGATTTCAACGCCCGGTTGGGGAAGCGTTGCGGTGATGAGTTGAGAGAGGGGGAAATTTGGAGTTGGGCAAAGGAACGCCAGGGGTCGGATGTTGGTTGACTTCATGGAGAAGGAGGGCCTCTTTATGATGAGCTCTTTCTTCAGGAATCCCCAAAATCGGAAATGGACATGGATGAGCCCTGTCCGTAAAATTAAAAATGAGATTGACCTTATCGTATCGACGAAAAGGCACATATTCAATGATGTCTCTGTGATCAATGCCTTGAAAACGGGAAACGATCACCATTTGGTAAGATGTACATTGATATAATGAAATGAATATCAACATTAAGCTGGAAAGATTTCGACTGATAAGGTTGACGCTCCGACCAATAATAGCACAATTGTCCAATAAATCTCAAAACCTTGAGAGCTTCCAACTCGAACTTCAAAATCGCTTCAAGGCCCTTGAAAACAGCGTGGATGTGGACGATCTAAACAACATGGTGGTTGATACTACTCGTACGGTAGGGTCCAAGTATTTCGAAACCCACCGTACTAGAATAAAGAAACTCTCCGACATAACACTCCAACTTATGGAAAAGCGAAATGAAATGAGGTTACAGAACTCAGCCAATGCAAGTCAGTGTCGTTTGTTAAATAGGCAGACCTTTAAGTCTTTGACGAGTGACTTTCGCCAATATAATACTAATCGTATTAAAGAAACTATAGAGCGGAATAAGGGCTCCAAAGTGTTTGCAAGAGATCTGTCAATTGGGTAAAGTTAACTGACGAATTTGAAAACTGACGACGTAAGCATCATTTCGAATAAATCTGAAATCCTGAGGGAGATTGAGAGGTTCTATCGGCAGCTACCTATATATTCCACACAAGCACCTGTTGAAAACAAGGCTAAAGATCCCAGACCTAAGCTTACCCGACACTATACCGAAGATATCCCGGACGTTAGCCTCTATGGGATTACTATGAATCTCAAAAAACTTGAAAAAAAAGTCAAAAGTTCCTCTTCTGCGCAGGCCATAATACTAATGTGGTCACAAAAGTCAAAAGTTCCTCTTCTGCGCGGGTCATAATACTAATGTGGTCACAAAAGTCAAAAGTTCCTCGCCTGTACAGGCCATAATACTTACGTTATAATATTGTTCCACACATTTCTTACACTGTGCCGGCTTAAAGTCCATGTGTAATTTTAAAGGTGATTAAGTTTTATAAACTACGTTAAAAATGTCTAGGGATCAAGCATGCAAAACACGTACTTAATTAATTGACATTAACTTGAGTTAATCCTCTACAGTATAAATAAACTGTATTTTTTCTTTATTTTTACAAAATTTTAGGGTCTGTTGGAAGACTTGATTACTTAGATATTTCTTTTAAATAAATATTTTTCAAACCTAGGCACTTTTGATAAGTCCAAAACTGTAACACTTTTTGCAACTTGTGTAATATTAAAAAAAATCTTAATATCTAAGTAGGTACCGTACAATTTATTTTAAGAAAACACTGTGTAGGTACACAATTTTCACAAATAAACTTTTACAATAAACCTACTTCTGTTTTATTTTGCACTTTGTCTTGGTTTTTTTCTTGCAATTTTCATAGTGCTTTTGCTTTCATTTCAGCACTTACTTTTTCTATACAATTACCTTATCATAATATTTTACTACTTTAATTTCTTGGTAATCAGTTTGTATCAGACTACAACTTTTAATGGATATTATAACAAAGAGAAATTTGAATATTCCAAAACAAAGAAACTGATAAAGGTTTTATAACGTACTCATTCACTAAGAGTCAAATAATGAAATTATTCTTTTAATCTTAAATCTATTTACTGTTAACTACTTATTTATACTTAATGTTATTATTCTTTACTATAACATAACACCATTTCTATTTCAAAGCCCGTATTCCAAAATGTTTATCAGTCAAAGCAAAAAATAACCATTTACTAATTTGTTTTGTTGTTTATGAGAGATATAATTCTTCATAGTGAAAGGGCATAAAAATTATACAAATTCAACTTTATACTATTAGTAGTAGAGTTTATTTTATTATTATGTTTATTTTTCTGCTTCTTCCTTCTCTAACTTAGCGTTTTGTGGGTTCCAAAACCAGGTTTGTTGTCAGGAACGAGTGACCCCTATGTGAAGTTCAAGTCTGGAGGGAGGCTACTACACAAGTCGAGGATTGTGTACAGGGACTTGAATCCGGTATGGGATGAATGCTTTACTGTGCCAATCGAAGATCCATTTCTTCCAGTACAATTGAAGGTAAATAAATATTTCCCACGCTGGTGTCGATTCTGGCATGATTCTCTAAAGTTAAACTTAAAGACAACAGTGTATCTCTGTCATTCTCTATACAGACTGAAAAGGACAAGCTGATGTCAAATTTAGTTTTAAGTTAAGAGAATCCTGCCAAAATCTACACCACTAACACCCTAGCCCCAAAGTTAGCCCTATAAGGCGTGTGTGTTATGGTACGCTAGGTTACAATCCATATTCAAAAAACACGTTTAGGTAACAGGCACCAACGACGCTGCGATTTTCAGAACAAGTAGATGTCTTATTTCATTTCCAAAAAAAACAAAGAAGTGAGTTTATCACTTTCCCAAAAAATAATATTGGTTGTCACATGACACAACGACTGATTTAGGGTTCCATGAACCTTTATAGTTGCGTCATGCCCGTCTGTTCGTCCCCAGTTTTGCTTGGAGAGAGATTAGCACTAGAGAGCTGTAATTTTGTGGAAATAAGTACTCGTATACCGATCACGCAGACAAAATGGTAGAATATATTTTTTTTAAATATTTTTTTAGGGTAGCTCTCCTACCTTTTAATCATCCACCCCATCGTATGGGATACCGTTGAATAGGTCCTTTAAAATTACTTAGGGTTTCTTAAGACTAGTTTACGATTTTGGGATCCGTTTGCAAATATTGAACTCTGAAGTGCTAATTTTTGTTTGAGAGCTAAACTATTGGTTTGAAAAATGTGGAAAAATTCATGGTAATAGTGCTTTTCATAAACTTTTAAGGAAAAGTATAAGGTTAAGATAGATTTGTTAGTTTAAGAGTAATAGTCGTTCAACTATGGTAACAACAACAAAAGAATATTTCGTACATATTAAAAATTCCTTAGAAGAAAACATTAATAGTGACATAGATGAAGTTACTATAGCGTAAAAACTTGCATTGCAAAAAAATTCTAAAAAAAACTATTTTCAAACCACAATAAAATATCATTAGTTCCACAACACTACCACGAGTACCAACGCCAACGGCTTCTGAGTCACGCTAATATTACCTTTTTATAAACTTGAAAAAATCGGTGGTTATACTGCATCCCTTCTCAGGGGATGATCGCTTCAGATGAAGCTTGTAAGACTCTTCTGGCCATAAGCATGAACTATGGGTGTGTTTTAGTCAGAGTCTGACATTATCCTTGCAGCCGGCTGTAAGGTATCCTTGAGGATTTCACATCCGCTCCCCCGCGTGGGAGGAAACAAAAAAAAATCGGCGGTATTCATACTTCATAGGTATTTAAAAAGAAATTAATGTCGAATTGATTTCGAGTTTGAGACGCAGTTTCACTTTGATTTAGGTATTTTAAGTTGAGATACATAGATTGATATTAATTGGTTTTTCTAATTTCCGATATATAAAATAAAGACTACTTGATATATTGTGGTAACTACGGAACCCTACACTGCGCGTGGCACGACACGCACTTGGCCGGTTTTTTAGATTAAAAAACCCAACGAAAACTGAAATAAGTACTCAAACAACACATTTACTTCACTTGCAAATTACATGGTAAAAAAATTTAAACGAAAATTAATCAAGGCTTAACCAATATTAAGCTCTGTTGCTTTCAAGCTAATACAAGTAATGTTTAGCCCTCACAGCCTCCGACCCAACTTTGATTTACATTAATCGCCCACCCAACTCGGAATCTGCGCAACTCTACGAAGTCAGATCAATTCTATTAACCAGGCACCATTAAACCGCTAACCCTCCTTATTAACAGATCAAATACCTATAATCCCGCAAAAGTTCATTTTCTGTTTTCTAGCGAATCCATTGAAGTACTGCTAATAAATTAAAAAGAGAAGATTTAATCTTAGAATCTGATTTTTGAATTGAAAATTTCTTTAGCGGCGTTGTACACTTTTATTCGTATGGGTAAAAAATGTTAAACTCGCTTCAGGTTAAACACGTGGGCTGATCGCATCATGACACACAATAAAATTTGAAACTTTGTTGACTTTCAATATATTGGACGAAACATAGCAATATTTTATTTTATCGTATTATAATAATGAGTCTCTATCTAGGACGTCCACGTGGCAGCTTTATTGCGAAGAAAATGCATTTTTTTACAATAGATGTCAATAGATGCGCTTAAATGTGATTCATGTAAGTTGATTTTTCTGAGAGATAAACTTTTTAATGTAATATAAATTGTCATGTTTGTGTACGATAGCGTAATAAATAAATACTGTATTCTACCACAACCATGATAGTACTTTTGTACTGATAATTAAAGCAATTCGTGCAAAATCATTCCCTAACCATTCCAAAATATCAAAAATGCACAACGTTAATATTCAAGTTTTCAAGCGCTCTATATCCGTTTAAGAGACGTAACACTATTAGTAATTCGTTATACAGGGTAATTCGCAGTACCCTTTACTCTTAAAACAGTTTCTGTCTATTTTTATATCTTTTTTTTATTTATGACTTTTGTCCAATAACATGCTATCTCCACCGAAGCCAATTAGCAAGGAACTACTTAATTAACAAAACAGCAAAAATACACATATATTAATACATGTACTTGTGTAATTTACTGGCAATATTCCATTTCCTATCCTTATAAGAGAACAAAAGTAAATGAAAACTTATTTTTTAGCTGGAGAAAATTGTTGCCAGAGTGGGCACTTTAAAAAAATCACGTTACTTTTTCCATACTTTTGTCAAAGGGCTTAAACTCTGACATGATCCTTATCGTACTCTATTAAAAAATAAAAGAAGATACTGTTATCAAAATTTTATATAAATTTATTTTACTAACTGCAAAATTGTACCTTTGAAACATTTTCTTTTATTTTGTTCTGGTAGTTTACTAGGCTGTCAATTTACGGACCAATTTATTAGGCCAAAACAAAGGGTCAAAGGGTTGACAAGGCCAAATAGTAGATCACAGCTTCTAGTCTAGTTCTGCCGTGCAAATCCAAAAGACTGTAAGTGGACTTACAGTGTTTTTGCTTAACAATGCCCAATCGATTTATTTGAGTCTATTGAGTACATAAAACCAACTCTCATTTCATTTTAACCCTTATTTTGCAAGATAAACCACTCAAAAAAACACTGTATTGCATTTAAAATAAGACACAGAAAAACTGTAACAAAGTATACAGTGTTTTGGCTAAACAAATTACGCATATTGCTAGATAAATACAGTGTTTTGAGCCGTCAAGTAAAGGCGCGTTGATGCTATCCAACCAGCGTAAGTTGAATCAACAACAATATTGATATCTCGCTCTTTCTTGCCCAGAAAAAGAAAATATAGACTGCAATTATTACAATGAGTACGAAAATTACTTTCCAGATAATTCAAAATATAGGAAATTTCTTATAGACTGCGATAACCACAATGAAAACGAAAATGACTTTCCTGATAATTTGGAGTCAAGGAACTTTTTAAGTCCTATTGTTCCACTGAGTGAGTCTCAAGTTGATGAATGCCTTTCAGAAGAATTAGGTAAAAGAGTTAACACTCAACTGATACACGCTTTAATTTGTGACCAGACTTTAACTGTCTCAAATATTTCTACTAATATGATAGAAACAGAGAGTAAGCCAAGAGATGTGAGTGAATTTAAGAAAACAGAATTGCCAATACATACAAAATCCATGCCTGCATCGCGGCGAAGTTTTTATGAAGCTCTTGAGGAATCAAAATCACCTGATCTCGATACAAATATTGATTCAGATTTGTAATCGAGTCAAATACTAGATTTTTTTTCACTAAATATTAGTTGAACAGTTTTATTATCTTTATATAGTATGCTTCGATACAGTGCTATGGCATAATGAGTTAGCTACGTTCATACAATACTTAACACTGTATTCTGTTTTACAGTGTTTTGCCTGGTTATCAAATTAAATTATTATAATTGTTTTGTCAATACAAGTTTCTGGCAATATCTTTCATCGTTACCAAAATTATGCCAAAAATACTACTTGGCCCTATACTAGTAATGTATATCTTACCATTTATTGCATTAAATTATACAATATTGACCAATAACCTTTAAAGAGGCGATTAATCAATAAAAAATATATTTTGTCAATTATCTCAAAAGTGGTTTTTCAAAAGTTACAGTGTGTTGGCTTGGCAGGGCAGAGTTGTCGGCATGGCAAAAACAAGAGTTAAATGTACCTATCATACTATTTGCTAACAATAGGATCGAGTAAATCTTGTATCTAATAATTTTGTTATCGATTGTCTGGTACAACACTGTATCGTCAGATACTATAACCTATAAGTTTGGACAATGTTTAGACAACAATGGAATTTCTATTGTTTTTTCTTGATTTTTATTATCTTGTTTGCGACAAAATTATATTTTTATACTAGGGAGTGCCGTGAAAATAATGGCTTCCCGTACAAACTTCCATCCCACTTTTCATCCCCTTCAAGGAAGATTTCTAGGATAAAATTGTCCAACCTCTTTCCCGGGGCACAAACTATGTATAAAGATACCAAACTTTATCTTAATCGGATTAGCGATATAAGCGTGAAGAGGTGACAAACAGACTCTCGCATTTGTAATAATAATTATATAAAAAAATGAAAATACAGTCGAGCGAAGAACGCAGGAGAAACTAGATTTTTGCTCACCCATCTAACGCGTAACCACTACGTCATCACATACCTCATAAACTGTGATAATCTTCATATCTTCAGGTCTTTGATTATGACTGGGGCTTGCAAGATGACTTCATGGGTTCCTGCCACCTCGACCTGACGGCCCTTGAGCTGGGCAGGCCTCAAGACCTGGTGCTATGCCTCCGGGACCCGAACAAGCCAACCCAGGACTTAGGGGAGATTGTCCTGAATGTCACGCTTTGGCCTAAATCGCAGGAAGATAAAGAACAGGTATGTTTACTACCCTAGTTTATGGAGTAAATAAGAGCAAGCGCACATTGAGCCACTAATCGTGGCAGGAGACGCAACCACTGTAGCTCAGTCAAATCACAAGACGCAGCTACCAATCGTATTGAGAGAAATCGAGTAGCTGCAACTAAGCTTCTAAAGGAGGCCACTAGTGGCTTATATATTATCCGATTGGTGCCACTAGTGGTCGCGTTTAGTGCCTCAATGTGCGCTTGCTCTAAGGACCTATACTTTTTTATATATTACGTTGCCACGACTCATCAAACCAAGCAACTCGTCCTATCGCTAATCACAACAAATATGCCCATCGCGCTGCTATCGGCGAATTGTCACACTTCAAAAGGTTTTATCGCGACAAGTTCGTGCCGTTGGCAAACTTCGCTGTCGTATTGTATGATAAGAAAATTATGGATTAAAATAACGAAGGAATAATGAAATTCAATTATTAATTCGACCCAGTCCTATGGAACTCTAAAACTACAATCCCCAAGGAAAACCCATTTGAATTACGACGCTTAAAATCTACCTCGCCACGTTTTGAATTATCGCGATGTCACTAAATTTTCTTCAGTGTGGCCATTTGACGTCTTAGAACGAAATCGAAGTTTAATCGCGACAACAGGAAACGAATCTTCGAACATCGTTCGTGTGGCGGTTATTATATCGTTCTGATTTTTTCCAAATAAAGCGCTACTAAGGTTTTGTGGCTTGCGGGTCACGCTTACAAGGCCCTTCCAATCTTTTTATTTATTCAATCAGTCCTTGTTTTTAAGCTTCATAATATAGAAACATAGACATTTATATTCTGAGAAAGGGTTCAAACGGAAGTTACATTTGATAATGGTGAAAGTTTTCGCTCAAAGACCCAAACTCAACGAAGCATGTGAGGTTTTGTCGGGCTTATGAATACACCAAGTAGGTAGGTACTCTTACTTCGCAGCTATATAGGTTTAAAATGATAAATTTCCTAGAATACTTAATAAGTAAAACTTGAATGACGAAAATATGAAATGAGTAGCGGCCGCCCCGAGTTCGTCCGTGGTGACTTTAGTTTCTCGAGAATCCCCAAAATAATCTAACATTTTTCTGGGAAAAAGGATTGTGTCTCAATTCCCAAATTTCATCAAAATCCGTTCAGTAGTTTTCGCGTGATTGAGTAACAAACATAATTATAGGTATTAGAAGAATAGTCAATTAACTATCTTAAACGTCTATTGTACTAAATGAAACTGAAGTTATCTCATCTCCCAGCTCTATGGATGAGCTATTAATAAAATACTACTACACTAATAAATCGTTACAGCTATAGTCATTTGCTACAGATATCGAGAACTAATTCCGATATACTAGACGTTTGCAGATCGTTCGGCTGAAATTTAACTTATTGATAACGTGGAGAATAAAGAACCTAATTAGGCTGCAAATTATCCCAAGATAAAACAGCTCATATAAAAATTTACAAGAAGGAAAACAAAGGCATTTTTTACAATACAATAATCCCACTTTTGTCTTGACACCTTGATGTGTTGTTCTTATTAATAATTATTATTTGCAACTGATTTGCAAGTTTTATTCTTTACTAGTGGCCCGCCCGCGCTTCACTTCGGTGTAGAGCTGTAGTGTAGACTATAGTTTTTGTTCTCAGGCTTGTATTATACAATGACATTCTTCTAATACCTAATTACAATAGGCACGCGCCACCAGGTGCCCCGCCCGGTAGCGTCGGAGCCGCTATGTCCCTGCATTTTAAATCTGTATTTTCTATATCTTCGAAAATATTCATTTAAATTACATGCGTTAAATAGCCAAATTGGTCTATATTAAATGCACAGTGTATTTAAGGTACTGAATTGGATAAGAAAGAATGTTATATTGCTGAAAATCGCTTCGTAAATAATCTATTATTTCTCGTAAAAAGTATAGGATATAAAATGGTTATTGTGGGTTATCCCTAAGAGATAGACAGATACCATGGCGGACTTTTTTGTAGACATTTTTAAGGTATACAATACTGTAGTACAATATTTTGATCGATCTCGTAGGGTTCAGCCAGCGTTTGCAATGTAAGCGGAAAAACTGTGTTTATTTACGACCTTACATTAAAAACCTCTAAAATTATCAGTGTTTCCAACCGTTACACAAAAATAATCCTTATAGCATGATTCACTATTCACGTGCGACGGCGCGATGGCTTATTTCATGTATAAGTTTCGTGTTTATATACCGATTTCTATGATTCTTTTTTTATTGAATAGGTAATAATGTTAACTTTTTTTAAATTAGGGATGAGTGAGAGTATTATAAACGTAAGAGTAAACAAATATAATCAGAATGCTCCGAACTGCTAAGCTATCAGGAGTTACACGTGTTATTGTGAGTCAACCATAAAAGATAGACATATGCTGTTGCGGGATATTTTTTAGACAATTTTATGTTAAATATTTCCGTCATACATGATTTCTATGTAACTTTAACCATTAAGGCTGCACACACGACGGAAGCTTAAAAAAAGGAGTAACTTCTCCCGTTTTCCCAGCATTTCCCTTCACTACTCTGCTCCTGTTGATTGTAGCGTGATGAAAACTATACTATAACCTGCCCAGGAGTATGAAGAATAATTGTACCAAGTTTCGTTAAAATCCGTCCAGTAGTTTTTGTTTCTATAAGGAACATACACACAGACAGACAGACAGACAAAAATTTTACTGATTGCATTTTTGGCATCAGTATCGATCACTAATCACCCCCAGATAGTTATTTTGAAAATATATTTCATGTACAGAATTGACCTCTCTACAGATTTATTATAAGTATAGATGATTCTACTGACACATGACACATTCTAATTAAAATTAGTATTTAGTAGATATATTTACAGTCGTTTGCACCCAACAATCCACAGAGTCTGCGTAGTGGAGGGGCATATATATAGTCCGTTATAACTTTCACATCCATGGTAAGCTAACAAGCTTATGTATTGGGATATAAGTAGTTAGGCTTGTGAAGATGACGATATTTATCGTCTTATCGATAGCACAGTTAGTCTCCCTTGCGGGGAACTGTGGCTACACACTTTGCTATTTCCTAACCTAACCTAACCTAACCTGAAAGATAATTAGCATATTACAACTATACATAGAAAAATAAAGACAAGTGAAAATAGAACGTTGCATACACTGACGGAGGACGGTGTTCACCGTTCAGTGCATCGTATTAGTTATAATGCTTCTTTATTTTATATATTACTAACTAGCGGTCCTACAGACGTTATGCTGTTGGATAAAAATGCGTTTCGGGATTCGCAGAGCGTAAAACGTTTGAAGTTATTATAAATAATCAATGGATTTAAACTATCTGCATTGGAAAGCGAGACCAAACTACACTTTCCTTACATTATTTACTAATTCGGCCATTAATAAAATAACTTTCCGAAAATGCAAGTTCAGTTCAAGTTTATCTTGCAAGTTTTTGTCACATTTTCCGGTTTCCGAATGAGCTGAAGTTTTTTACGCATACCTATATGACAGTGCAATATTATAATGAAATGGAGCCGATCTGATAATTGAGCTGTCGAGAGGGGGCATAGGTACAATACAATCCCATCGAATTTGGGCTCATTTCATTCGTCTTGATGAATACTTTGGTCCTAAATGATATGGGTTTGATAATGAAGCTGGAAGGTGGCCCATGATTTACGAAATAATGGCATAAGATCTCCGAAATAAAATGACTTAATCGCATCGAGTTTGGGTTCATTTGATTCATCTTGATAAATACTTTGCCCCTGGATAATATTCGCAACTCTATCAGATTTAGGACAATTATTTGTCGAAAGTTCGTTCCATCTGTCATGTATTCTATTTGATTAGATGTATCACCCAGTGTAATGCGAGCACTTGCCTCCAGGCGTGAGGAGCGGCGACTCTTAACTAGATCCCGCAGTTATGACTGGAGGGAGAGGGGTAGATCGGGGATTTGGTTTACCTGGTAGGAACGGGAACAGGTAGGCTGGCTAGCCGCTCGGAATAAGATCCGTGTGAATAGTCAGGTGGCGATGTAAATGGAGAAGGACAGGATCGGTTTAAGCAGGTGCTCGTAGAGCTACTTGTCGGATGAAGGGTGGTTTGACATTTGCCAAAGTATACCTCCACCGATGAGTAACCCTCGCACCACTCTCACTGGCCGAATGCATACGATGCAATCGCATGCGTTGCGGGGGTTTTTACAACAACAGCAAACCCCCACGCCGTCGGCCATTGTACGTGGATACAATGCATTTTTTTTCTCCCCGTTATTGAAAAAAAGTGGAGCACTTGCCTAGGGTTGAATGGTATGAGAGTGTATAAACAATATACACTAACAAATTCATTATAAAAATAAAGAAAAGACTATTTTTTTTTTAAATGCTTTTATTACTTCTTTATAAAGAGAACTAAAAACTTACAAATAATTTCAATCTGATCCGAAAATATACTCATTTATAGGTAAATTAAATCCTGTTATACAATAACAGTGTCTTACTCGTATGTTTTGCGCGTACGAGAATTAAAGAAGTTATACATTAGGGGTCGATACGTTCAGTAAAAAAGGCTTTATTTTACTTTCGACGTTTGACCACAGATTACTTTATAGTTACGATTTGACTAGAAAGTTAGGTGAGTACTTCTAGTTTTGACTTAAAATATGTACCTTAGTCAAAGGCCGAAATTGGAATTTAATTCGGGGTTTGCCGAAAAACCTTGTTCAGTCCTAGGATCAATGAGTCATTCCGGTAAATGACTGCATTGCACCTTTGGCACAACTAATAAAGATGTATAAAAATCTTGTACAAAAACAATGGTGAAAGTTGCAGCTACCCTCTTTATTATTATTAAATTTCTTTAATATACGTGGTCAAATCGTTTTTGAAGTGAAAACTTCTTTAGCGGCGTTGTACACTTTTTTTGTAATGGGTAAAAAAACTGTTAAACTCGCGTCAGGACACGTGGCCTGATCGCGACAGTCCTGACGCCCTAATCAGGTTAGGTCAAAATTCGTAAGACGAAAACAATAAAATAATTAATATATTGGACGAAACATAGTAATATTTTATTTTACCGTATGTCTCTAATAGGCAGCTTTATTGCGAAGAAAATGCATTTTTTACAATAGATGTCGCTAGGTGCGCTTAAATATGATTCATGTAAGTTGATATTTCTGAGAGATAAACTTTTTAATGTAATATAAATTATAATGATTGTAAACGATAGCGCAATAAATAAATATTATATTCTGCCACATAAATGATAGTACTTTTATACTGATAATTAAAGCAATTCGTGCAAAAGTATTCCCTAACCATTCCAATATATCAAAAATGCACAACGTTAATATTCAAGTTTTCACTTCTGCCCACACTCCCGGAGTACAAGCCGTCGTTTTTTTATTTATTAGGTCACATCTTACTCATTTTCTCCTTACTGCACTGTATTTTATTCATTACTTGGAAGTCTAATATGGAAAAAATGGATAAAGCAAAAATCTCCTTTAAAAAAGGAGGTATTTTAAGGAAAAGTATTACATTCTGAAACTTTGGTGTGGATACAATTTGATCTAGCTAGATGTTCTGTGATTTGATGACACTCTGCGTTTCTTCGTTGACTTCTACTTCACTTTTTCGTTTTTGAATAGCGTTTTTGTGAACCAGTAAAATACTTTCCCCCTTCAGTTTTGTTACTGAGACTTTTTCTTTTCTTATGTAAGATTTATTTTCTGGTTTCTGAGGTTTCTTTGTTTTGTCCAATTTGGTCGATTTTTTCTCCCCTATGCTTCCGAAAACGTAACTGAAAGGTGTTTTATTGGTAGACATGGAGGTGTTGTTCATTTGCCATTGGATAAAATGACAGCCAATTGACCACCTTGTGCTACCCGTCACTTCTAGCCATTCTTTCATAATTATATTTATCCTATACTGCCAATCTTTCATTTCTGTGGCATGAGGCGTTCTCACGACTTGTGTTTCCGATCCTAGTATTTCGTTAATGTAAGCACATATATCTATATAATACGTCACTTCTTTTGTCTCTAGTCTCCGTGGAGCGCCGAAGTTAGCGAATATTTTAATTAGTTCAACAGCAATAGATTTCATATCCACACCGGTTATCGGCCGTATATGTACGAATCGAGTCAGCTTATCTATAACTACAAGTGCGTTTTTGTATGGTGGATCTTGTGCAAAGGATATAGACATCGTGAATACTTCACATATCTTGTTAAATTCTCGTTTTGGAACACCCCGCCCCCATGAATAGCGACTGCATATGTTACATGCTTTTACTAAATTTTTGATGCATACCTCATCAATCACATACCGTTTGGATACTTCCTTGAAGGTCTCATACCATTCGTTTCTGTGACCTAGTTCCCTGTGTACCGTCAAAATTATATCGAAACATTCTTCCCAAGGCACGACTTCCAAGCCATTTTCGAATAGCTTGCGTTGACGAAGGCCAGCATCTTCGATTACCACGCTGTATTCCGCATGTCGAACCCGTTCATCCACATCTTCAGAAGTTACGTGTTTTATGTAATCGGCAACACTTTCCTTGGACCATACCTTTGTATTATGTTTTTGCGCCTCTAAACTGTACACTTTCATTAACTGCTCAAAATCATGCTTTGTTTCGGAAACACAGAAATAACTCGCGTTTTGTGCATATTTCCCCATTTTGTTAACTCGGTCTGCGCGCGCGGTTCGTCGCGGCGAACAGTGGAACTCAAACTGACTGAGTGAGTCATTGATTTGTGTTGTTTGGAATGGGCGTACGCGGGACGCGGGGAAGTAGGGAGGGTTACGGAACGCATGCGACGCATGGCAGACGGGACGAGACGCGACGGGAGGGGGGGGGGGGGGGGGTCCCGCGCGGCCGGCGTGGCCGTGGCAGATGGTCCGTCCGGTAAGTGCCCCCTCCCGCTCGCCACGAATTTTAGTGCGCAGTCTGATATGCTGTGCTTGACGCGTCAAATGGTTACAATATTTGGGTTTGTTTATTAGGTCGCCCTCTACTCTACTCTCTATTTTATTATGTCTATGTACCAGTTCCTACTTACTAAATAGTTGACAAACAAACACAGCCCTGCTTTTTAGGGTTCCGTAGTTTTAACAAGGAACCCTAGGAAGGATATTAATTGTTTTTTCTAATTTCCGACATAGAAAATAAAGACTCCTGTTCAAATAAATTGTGGTAATTACATGCAACTACGGAACCCTACACTGCGCGTGGCACGACACGCACTTGGCCGGTCTATCCGGTATAATTTTTATTACCTACGTACATATTTCCTATGTAAAAGAATAGTTATCAAGCATATAAGCTATAAGTCGTATTAATCAAAAGTAGTACCTAATTAAAGTTACTTAAGGATTTTATGTAAGCAATCCAATATATATATATATATACTAGCTGACCCAGCGAACTTCGTACCGCCCTAAAAAAATAGGGGTTGTCCAGCGGACAAAATTGTGAATCTAAACCATTCTCAGATCCCCTTGAACACACACAAAAAAATTCATCAAAATCGGTCCAGTCGTTTAAGAGAAGTTCAGTGACATACACACTCACAGAAGAATTATATATATAAAGATATATATGTGATATATACATATATATATGTGATATATATGATTATAAATGCGCGCGTTATACTGGATCCTTATTTTGTTACAGAGTTATTGCAAAACTATCATATCTCTTATGATATTCATTGAAATAATATAATGTCAATGTTAATTTTGTTGAACATTAAATACTTGTGACATATAACATCTTTATTTTGATTAAGATGACAAATGTTAATAAAAACATCTTCGCAAATAATGCATTATTTTATTTCGGAACAAATTTGAAATATTTATAAATATTAGTTATAATTTATTGTTATTTTTAAAGCATTTAACTGCTAGATGTTTCTTTTTAATATAAGAAGGCGGGCACGCAAGCTTAAAGCAAAAGATCAGACTCCATTGTTTGCGGGAATGGATATCAGATAGGTATTTGCCAAATTGACCCAAAAAAGTATGCCGCTCTTTTGCGTGTAAATAACCCTAACAATTCAATGTTCTGCACGATATCATACCTAACCCAATACCGTTTACAAAGAGTAGAGCCTAAAGAAAGCAGATCTCTTCAGTTCACCATAAAAATCATGTCACCTAGCACCTCACGTACGCTGCCGTCCTCAAGCTAAAACGCGGCTAAATTACAAAACCAACTTTTGTGATATGGCCAAAAAACGGCGCGTGAACTTTAAATTATCACTATTATGTAACTATTCATCACGTAACGGATTTTTAGTTGCACACGGCGTTATATCCCGACATCAACGCGAAAGAAGTCGCAGACACGGCGAGTTTAAAAAAAACGGCCAAGTGTGAGTCGGACTCGCGCACCGAGGGTACCGTACAAACCTTTAAAATTTTCAAAAATATTTTTTATTATAATAATATGATGTAACTAAAAATTTACGGTATTCGCAATTTTCCCTTTATCTGTTCTATAAGACGTTACTTCGTTCCAAATTTCAAGATTCTAAGTTCACGGGAAGTACCGTGTAGGTTTTGATTCCCGTGCGAGTTTCGAAAACATGCGGAACTTTGCGGCATAAACGGCTGTATCTTTTGATTGCTTTGGGTTAGAAGTTTAATTTTTTTCACATCTCCAAGGGATAATAGACCTGAGTTTTAGATATGAATTTCAGTTTGATACTTTCACACGTTCCTGAGAAAAACGGTCTTGATAGATGGACGGACGGACGGACAACAAAGTGATCCTATAAGGGTTCCGTTTTTTTCTAAAAAGCGCATTATGCCCACTTTATTTCTTTTACTGTCAATAAAATTTACCTGCAAAGATATTAATATAATTATTGTGTACGTGCTAAGAATTTTTATTAAAAAAAATGGTGTATATTACTTTTCGGAAAATTATTTTATGTTTTTAGTTCTTTTTATTGACGAGCAATAAAATCTTGATATTATATTAGATACATATATGAGTATACTAGCCGGCCCCCCGCGACTTCGTACGTGTGAAGTTAGTTATTTACACATACTCGTACTTTTTGATTAGAAAAGGGGGTTTATTTCTAAAGATACTTTATTAGTACACCTCTACACCATCTATAGAGCATACATGTTAAATTTCAAGTCTCTTACTTCAAAAACATAGTTAAAAAAATGACAAAATTCATGCAAACTTTCAACCCCCGTATTACCCCCTTGGAGGTGGAGTTTCGTGATAAAATGTACCCTTTAAATTGACCCGACTTAATAATATTCGTGCCAAATTTGAAGTAAATCCATGCAGTACTTTTTGAGTTCATCCCGGACATACATACAGACAAACAGACAAAAATTCTAAAAATATATTTTTGGCTTCGGTATCGACGATATATGTATTCTTTTAAAAAAATATTCAATGTACCATTTTGACTTTTCTACCATTTTATTATATGTATAGATTTATATAGAAATATATAATAACATCTATGACTTGAGTACAAATGCCCGTATTCATCACACAAACATCTGCCCTCACCTGGATTCGAACCCGGGGATCTCTCGAGTAGGCGACACCTTGAAACCCAGCGTACAAACCCCTCGGCCACGGAGATCGTGGAGGTATTTTATAAGTACCTACCGCAAATTCCATTTTTATTAAACGGTTTTTTATTAAACGGTTTTTTAAACGGTTTTTTATTAAACGGTTTTTTAAACGGTTTTATATTTAGCTCACCCCGTTTGTTTTTTTTATTCTTGGGTCAAATTTAGTAATTCAAATTTCACCCTCTTCCTGTCAACCGATTAATCTGAAATTTTGTATACACTTTGGATTTTGGTGACAATACAATTATGTTTATTCATTATCATTATAAATTCAAGATGGCCGCCGCTACAAAATGGCGGATAATTTATGTTTTATTAATCCCATCAATATGGGTATCAAATGAAAGGGCTCAACAAGCAGAATACAATATACTGTAAAAAATTGAAATCCAAGATGGCGGCCGCTACAAAATGGCGGATAACGTAGGTTTTATCAATCCCATCAATATGGGTATCAAATGAAAGGGCTTAATAAGCAGAATACAATAAACTATAAAAAATTTAAAACCAAGATGGCGGCCGCTACAAAATGGCGGATAACGTAGGTTTTATCAATCCCATCAATATGGGTATCAAATGAAAGGTCTCAACAAGTAGAATACAATTTATTATGCTATATGAATACAATTTACTATACTATTTATTGAAATCTAAGATGGCCGCCGCTACCAAATGGCTGATAACATTTTTTTATCAATCCCACCAATATGGGTATCAAATAAAAGGGCTTGACAAGAACAATACAGTGCACTATACAACCTCAATATTTAAGATGGGCGCAGCCACTAAATGGCGTATAATAATAAGATTTAAATTTAGAAATTGAATCTGTAATTTAGGTATCTGATTAATCCAGCCTGAATCCACCACCCAAGTCAAGATTTTGTATCGTGTTGAGGACTGTGTGGCGTTAGGGTGGCTAAAAATGATACGTCGTTAGCGGTACACCATCCAAGTTAAGGTGAAAGGTTAAAACGCGCCGAGAACTGTATGGCATTAGGGTGGATAAAAATGATATCTCGTTAGCGTTTTCCCCTCAAGACTCAGGCGCATCTTGTTGTACCTAAGTACAATTACGGGACGGCTGAAAGAAGAATGTTGCCTTTAATACTATCATGGGCTTCTACAATACATAAAATGCAGGGCAGCACTGTGGATCACGCAGTCGTATACTTAGGTGCGAAACTGTTTCAAGAAGGTCAAGCCTACGTGGCTCTTAGTAGAGTAAGATCTTTGCAGGGACTACGTTTAGAGGAGTTGGACAGCAATAAACTAACGGGCAAGAAACCTTGCAATAATGAAGCACTTAATGAATTAAACAGAATGCGAAATAAAAACTAAAAACTAGAAAATAAAAATAGGTAAAAAAACTTTTTAACTTAAACGGTTTTATGTTAAACATACATTGCAATGTTTAAGATAAATGTACTAAAAACCAAAAAATAATAAAATAGATACAGTCGTGGGAATTATAAACATATGCATAGACTAGACTGAAATAAAACCGTGTTGCACGTCAATTGTCTACAATCGTTGATTAAAATGTTTGTTTTGTAATGTTACACTATAATTAGGCAGTTGTTCAACCGACAACGATGGACGTGTGATAAGTAGGGCTAGAATGTGGAAACAAGCTAGCAAGCTCGATTATAAGCGAGTTTTAGGGTTTCATAGTGGTGAGCGAGTAGTACTTTTATCATATGTTTTGTCGATTAAAGACAAACTACGAGCAGTGAAACGATTCCTCGCCAGCCAGCAGTGTGAATGTCCAACGATAAACTAGTTGAAACATCTCTTTTGTTTACATGGAGTGTATAACTATTGGAATTTCCATGAGCAAGAAAATAGTAATTTCCTCACCGTCTGCGGGCCAACTGCCTAACGACGAATTAAACTATTCTTCTATCGCACATTAATTCGATAATTTGTAGACAATTGACGTGCCCCACGGTTTTATTTTAGTCTAGTCTATGCATATGTTTATAATTCCCACGACTGTATCTATTTTATTATTTTTTGGTTTTTAGTACATTTATCTTAAACATTGCAATGTATGTTTAACATAAAACCGTTTAACTTAAAAAGTTTTTTTACCTATTTTTTT